TCTGCATCCTGCAGGCGCTGTGCCAGCTTCTTCCTGGGAGGTGGTAAGCAGAGGACATAACTGGGGACTAAAATGGAAGTTTTTTTTCATTTTCATCACAGTGCTGAGGCACTTTGCAGTATTTGGTCCCCACGTACATGCTGCAGAGCCTACCGTAGCCAGTAATTTTTCTTCCCTTTTTCTTTCCCCTGTGTCTAGCTATCCCTCTGCCCTCTGCACACACCACACATTGCCTTTCTCCTGCATTCTTTGTCATATAGCATATTTTCCTTGTGTTTTTGAAAACTACATCTTTTATAGTACATATACCTGTTTCATATAACTCCTCCCCAACCTACAACTAGGCTTTTGCCTTTCAGTATCTTAGTAGTCTCTTCAAATTTCTGTTACTGGTTTCTGCCAGCCTTCCCCACACTCCTCACGTACTTGGCCTCCTCCAACTCCTCTGTGCGCTGAATAGCATCTGTCTCGTATTTGGTTCTCCACTGGGCCACTTCGCTGTTGGCTTTGGATAGGGCACGCTGCAGCTCACTCTTGGCTTCCTGCTCCTCCTCATATTGTTCCCGGAGTAAGTCACAGTCATGGCGCGCTGACTGCAAGCCATGGGCCAGAGCATTCTTGGCCTGGTAGTAAAAAGATAAGTAATAAGTAATAAGTAGTAGATGTATCCTGGGAAATTTTCTCTTACTGACACTTAGACACTGGAATATATCCCAGAGAAATAGTGATTAACTGACTGCATGAAAAAAATAAAAGCCAAAGTCTGATAAACTGCAAGAAGCTGGGAGTCCTGCACTGACAGGGCCTAGATTGCCTAATGGGATGCTTTGAACTTTTAATTAGATAACCTTCTAAACTCTTGAACACTGCACCAAAACCAATGTGATGTAAAATATTTATTTCATAAGTAACATGAAATATCTTCACCTTTATCTCTTCTTCTAATTGCCGCTTCAATTCTTCAATCTGCTGGGTGAAAGCCTGTTTCCCTCTAGACAGCTGAGAAATTAAAGCATCTTTTTCCTCTACTTGGCGTGCATATTCACCTGGAAAAGTTTGTAATTAAGAAAGAATTTTAACAGCCAAAAGAGTAATTTAGAGGGTTCTTCCATTTCCAAACTAGAGATGGAAGTGCCGTACCAGATTCTGTCTGCAGACGAGCTCTTTGAGCACTGAGATCGCTGATCATGCGCTGATTCTGCTCCTCCTTTGTTTTAAATTCACTTAGTTGGTCTTCCAGGGTGCGGCACATCTTCTCCAGGTTTGCCTAGGTGTCAATCACACATAAGAAAATAGAGTTAATACATCTGCCTTAGTTATATATACCTGCCTTAGTTAAAGCAGGAAAATTTGTCCAGAAGATGCAGTTTACATATCTGGGGACTACGTGTATTCGCAAACAGTTCTATACGTTGGATTTGGAGAAAATAGTTATATTATAACCTGATAATAGTTAAATAAGATACAATTAACCACAAATATTACATTGTTTTCCAATTACTAATAGAAGTATTTGTGTACCTTGGCTTTGGAGACAGATTCCATGTTACTGGCCAAGTCATCAATCTCCATCTTCAGCTCACTCTTCTCCTTCTCCAGCTTCTGCTTCACTCGTTGCAGGTTGTCGATCTGCTCCCCGAGCTCAGCTGTGCTGTCCGCATGCTTTTTCCGCAGGGCGGCAGCCGTGGCTTCGTGCTGCAGCGTGGCCTCTTCGAGGTCGCGGCGCATCTTCTGGAATTCTGCCTCACGCTTCTTGTTCATCTCAATCTGAGCTGTGGTAGCCCCTCCTGCTTCTTCCAAGCGCTCACTGATCTCCTCTAGCTCCCTCGAGAGGTCAGCCCGATGCTTCTCTGCTTTTGCCCGAGAGGTTCGCTCTGCCTCAATTTCCTCCTCCAGTTCCTCAATACGAGCCTGGGGAACATTAGGGACCCTTCACACCCATGCCCTCCTCCTACCTGACCTGAGACTGGGTGGGAGAGGGGAAGGAACACAGACTTGCCTGCAGCTCCTTGATCTTCTTCTGCAATTGCATGCCCAGGGCTTGCTCATCCTCGATTTTGCTCTGGATCTGGCTGATTTCAAAGTCTTTCCTTTGCACAAAGCAAACCGTGTTAGTGCCTGAACACAACCACCCAAGTGCGCCAGCCCAGCACTCAGGTGCCCCACAGCCACACTTACTTCTTCAGTTTCTCATCCAGCTGCTGCTTATCATTTTCCAAGTCCATTATGCTGTCATTTGCCAGCTTCAGGTCTCCTTCGAGTTTCCTCTTAGCTCTCTCAAGGTCCATGCGCAGTTTCTTCTCTTGCTCCAGGGACCCTTCCAGCTAAAAAGAACAAAGCCATCAGTGCTCTGCTGCCTACGCTTTCCTCTACAAAGTTTTCCGTTTCATTTAGCTATACATGTGCTTACATCGTCCACTTGCTGCTCCAGCTTGGTCTTAGCTTTGGTCAGAGTATTGACTTTGTCCTCTTCTGCCTGCAGGTCATCCAGTGTCTGCTGGTGGGCCTCTTGGAGGGCTTTCTTCTCTTTTGTCAGCTTCACAATTGTCTCGTCCAGGGCTGCCATCTCCTCTGTGAGGTTTTTCACCTTTGAGGAGAAGGGAGCAGTTAAAAAAATGTTGTTTAAAACTTCATACTGTATTACAAAATAGAGGTCTTTTCTGTAAAAGTGACAGCTTCTGTCTTATACCTTGTTTTCGGTGGCGTGTTTTTCCTTCTCAACCTTGGCCAGTGTTAACTCAAGATCATCAATATCTTTCTTCAGCTCTGAACATTCATCCTCCAGTTTCCTCTTCTTGGCTGTCAGCTCAGCATTAATTTCCTCCTCATCCTCAGCCCTTTCAGTCACCTCTTTAACTTTAGCTTCCAGTTGGATTTTAGTTTTGATGAGCTGGTCACATCTTTCCTCAGCATCAGCCAAAGCATCAGCTTCCTGGTGGAAAATACCATTTTTAGTGATATGTTTTTTGAGAGAATATCAAGATGCTTACCTTCATAGTTTAGAGTCCTGGATAGTAGTTTTGTAATTAAAAATTTGGTTTATGTTCCAACAGAATGAATTGCTGGAAAATTTGTCTCTAGGCTTTTTTTGCAACTTTTTTTTTGTTATTTGTTATATTTTGTCTCAAGTTTCAGTCTAGCAGAAGTAATATGAAAGAAAAATTATAATTTTAGCATTGAGTGGATTTCTTAATCTTTTTACAGTTCAAGATTCTTTAGAAATTGAGCATGTAAATTTTCCTATTACATATGCTGCATAGTATTACTTTGAAGATACAGTCTTCTCTATTCTGTGAACGATTTAATTTAGAAACTACAGCATTACAGCACAGCAGATGTACCACATAATTTTATGTAATTATTTTGAGTTATTTAGGAGGGCGAGTGAGAACATTAAATTCTGTTTCCTCTCAGTTAGTTCAGCATTGCAACATAGTAATATTCGTAACAGCTAAGCCACTACTTACACCAGAGAGAAACATGTTATCTTGTTTAATTGGAGAATAAAGAGAGGCAAGAAATGTCCTCTTATCTTGTCCCAAGAATTCCTAATCATGTGTGCATAAGGATAGGCATACTCAGTTTTGGAGAGGTAGGAAAAAATTACTAGAAGGACAAACATCATACTAATAAAAGTAAAGTTTGTTGATTGTTCTGATGCAGTTTAACTGAATGTAAATGACAGAGACCTCAGCATACACCATGGAAAACACTCACCCATGCAGTATCTTGACTAAAGCCTCCTGACAGTCCTTACTGAAGCTAATTATAGTTTTAGGAGCACCACTTAATGAAATACAATTGAATTTAATTAGATTGTAGTTTCTATGTGTCTTTTGAAAATGTAGTTGTAAATATCAGCCTGATAGTCAGTTCAGTTAGAATGAGGCACACTGGCAGTACTCACAGCCTGCACTTGGAGCTGCAGGTCATTTTTTTCCTGCACCAGTTTCACCATTTTCTCCTCCAGCTCCTTCCTCTTTGCCTCAGACTTTGCAAGCTCTTCCTTGGTTTTCTCAAACTCTTGTTTCATGTTGGCCATCTCCTTCTCAGATTCTGCACTCTTCAGCAAGGGCTTGATCTTGAAGAACAGCTTCATCCAGGGCCAGTGCTTGACATTCATGAATGCACGAATGTTGTACTGGATGCAGAAAATGGACTCTCTGAAAGGTAAGTCAAATTAATATTAAATATTTAGACCATGATGACACAATAAGCCAAATACAGTGAACCTAATTTGAAGAAGTGTCTACCTCCTTTCCACCATTCTCTGGTACTCCACTCTCATCAGGAAGCCCCTGCACCTGGCCTGTGTGCGAGTGATGAGCTGTGCCAGTTTCTCATCTCTCATCTCTTCCAGCAGACCTACCAGCCCAGCTTTGAAGAACACCTTAGGTAAGAACAAGAAAAAAGGTGCAGTGTATGTGCTTGTTGTCCAGTGTAGGCTGATACCCTGTCACCTATAGCAGATAATATGGGAAGTTAAGAGAAAGAGCAAAAGCACAAAGAATGTGTGCAGTGATAGACCCTCTGTTATATCGCCAAGCTTCCAACCTGCAGTTGAGGAACTATAAAAGCCAGACATTTTGCCTTTGTTTTTATTAACCCTTGATTCTTTTATTCTACAACTTTGTCTTAAATTATGAACCCTTAATTAACCCTTAATGAAATCATCCTATTGCAATGAATTTCAGTTTTATGCAAGTGTTGAGTCAATAAGTACTTAGCTGATTTCTTTTAAATACACTATTTGATCATTTTACATACTATCTGGAGAATCTGAGTATCATTCTCAAGCCATGCAAACCAAAAACACATAGTACAAACAGGTTTTGTACCTTGGTGTGACCGAATTTGTATTGAGTGTGGTCTATATCAATTGATCCAAGAAGTTTCTCACAAGCTTTCTTGCTGTCAATGAACTGTCCCTCTGGGATAGCACTTGCATTTAATACTTTGTATCTGGGGGAGAAAATGGAAGGAATTGCACTGGACTCAATGATCTTAAGGGTCTTTTCCAACCTAAATGATTCTATGATTCTATGAATATAAAGAGGTCTGTTGCTGAGACCAATTGGCTGGTACACTGCAAGAAAGAGTCTAAGAACTGTTGAGAATGTAACAGTCCTGCTAAACATAAACTTTAGAGAATGCTTTAGTCACCAGAGGTGGAACTTGAATTTCACAAGCTACTCAAGATGCACAAAATGATCCAGCAAGACAAAGAAGTCTGACCTCTGTTTAAAATCTGCATACAGGACTCTGTTGGGAAATCCTTTCCTGCAAATTCTGATCCCTTCCAGCACACCGTTACACCTCAGCTGGTGAAGCACCAGTTCATGCTCCATGGCACCTAGCAATTCAGAGCACAAATACATGCTATATCCTGTAATACAGAGGGGAAGAGCTGCACCATACTGAAAACCTTCTATATGTGAGTCTCTTACCAGGTGTTTTTGTTTCATTTGGGATGATGCAGCGTACAAAATGGGGGTGAGTGCTTCGCAAATTGGTCATCAGCTTGTTTAAATTCTCCTGGGAGAGTCATTAACAACAGTTTATATTAGCAAGTGTAATTCGCTATAAGCATCAAGCCCTCTGAAATGAAGCCCCATGCATCATTTTTTCTGACTTCCCACAGGTCTTTGCTGTTATTAACTTAATGTATAAAGTTATTCTGACTAATTTGTAGGAAATATCGTACTCTTAAACATACAATTTCAATACATTTCACTGACTCTAGTGGAATGCCTTCATTAGAAATTATATCCATCTTCCATTGGATGAACCCAGAGAGATAAACTGGTACCTCTATAAGGCAGTTTGAAGCATACTACAGTCGGCATTTAATATGGGTCATATGGAGCACACTGCATAGAACCTTCCTGTTTTCCCCACTGAAAGCAAAAGGAACAAAAATGACAAGCTGAGTTTTATTAGATTACATGTTTATTTTGTAAGGTAAGATGAGAATAAGGTGAGATGAATCCCAGCCTTGTTTTGTAATTAATATCTGTATACTTATTTATAAATAATTATTGCCTACAATTAGTGGAGGGAAGCAGGTGCCTCCAGAGGACATCTCAGAGTACGTAAATTAACCAGCCAGAAAATTAAGATGTCTAGACACTAACATGTCTAAACAAGAGGGATAGTGGAAGAAAGTTTGAAAACATAACAGAAATGCAACCCAAATAATATTTCTCCTATAACTTTACCTCTTAAATTCTTATGACCTTTAAACATAGGCTTATTGCATTATTTTTGAATGATACATGTTGGCAATAATTTCCCACTGGCAAGGCCAAGGCCCTACAGCTATGATTATTTTTCTGGGGGCACATACACACATGCCCACGTCCTGTTTCAGAGCACTGGCCAGATGCTATCTGGTGATCAAGAATCATATGACAGCAGATCTGTAGAAGAAACTAGTGTATATCAAGAAGGGAGTCCTAAAAGAAAGATGAATATGGTAATAAATAAACTCAGGAGAGACTAGGTATTTCACCTGGCAGAAGTGTATGGAGCAGCCAGGCAGCAAGACTTGGTGATGACAAAGAACTGTCAAGTATCTGACATCTTAAAAATCCATAACGCAAGGAGTGGTGATGTTTCAGCTATAAGAGATTGATCCCTGAATCATGGAGAAGAACTAGAGATACAAATGGAGCAAACAGGTCATCCTCCAGACCAGTGGGCAGAATATTGTTAAAGGGCAATAAAAGGTTCTGAAGTCAGAGGTGGGCATCTGAAGGAAATCTGGTATATTTTAGGAATATTTTAGAAGTTTTCAGTATGACATTCTTCCGTTTGGAAACATCATCTTGGGACAAGTGGACAAAAAGAAAAGTTGTGCATTCAGTGGAATGGAGCATAAATAGATCACAGTGGATTTATTCCCAGCAAAATATGGCCCAAGAACTTAATGGTCTTTTAACACAACTAAGCCAAGAAAATAATAGCCATTTTAAATGGCGGGTTTACTCCTCATCTTAGGAAGAAATAATGAACTATCTACTGTACCCGGAAAAGAGCTGAGACAGTCTGGAAGGAAGAACCCTTCTTCTTGCCACCTTTCTTGCCAGCACTAGCTTCTGCAAAATTGAAAATAAATAAAACAGGTTTTAGATTTTTGCGTTATGATTCCTTTTTGTAAGCTGTACATCAATGAAAATATGGAATTCATAGAACCAACCTGCTTCTGCTCCACCATAGTTGGCAAAGAGTAAGGCCAATGTTTTCAGTGATGATTTCTGGTACAACCCAATGACAGTTTCGTTCAAGGGATCTTTGTTCTTCTCAAGCCAGCCAGTGATGTTGTAGTCTACTGTGCCAGCATAGTGTATCAGGGAGAAGTGGGCCTCAGTCTTCCCTTTGGTAGGCTTGGGCTTCTGAAAGTTGCCGGATTTGCCCAGATGCTGGTCATAGAGCTTGTTCTTGAAAGAGGTGTCAGTTGCCTTAGGGAACATGCACTCCTCTTCCAGGATGGAGAAGATACCCATAGGCTGGAAGAAACACACAAGGGAGACAGATTGAAATTTAGTTTTCAGGGCAATAATGACCTTCACCTAGGCAAAGTAGTGGAACACAGACTGAGATACACATCAGGAAAGATTATTATTCAATTATTATTCAATTACATTTTCTGCTAGAAAGAGAGATTAAACGAATTGATACCTACATTTTTTAACACCAAATGACTCATAAAGATTAATGGAAATTCATTTAGTTCATATTGAGAATGTGTTTTATAAAATCAGAGCACCACCTTCTTATCTAGCAGGACTCAAAGGACACACAGATGTCTTCGACAAATTGAACAGGAGCCAACAATACACCCTTCCTGCAAAGGCAGCCAGCTCTTCCTGGGCTGCATTAAGAGTGTGGCCAGCAGCTCAAGGGAGGTGATCCTTCCCCTCTACTCAGCTCTGCTGAGAAACATCTGGAGCGCTGTGTCCAGTTCTTGGCTCCCCAATACAAGAGAAACATAGACATAATAGAGTGAGCCCAGTGACAGGCCACAAAGATATTTAAATGACTGGAACATCTGACATACAAGGAGAAGCTGTGTACATGGGACTGTTCAGCCTGGAAAAGAGAAAGCTCTGGGTGATCTTATCAATGTGTATAAATACCTAATGGGAGGTGATAAAGAAGTCAGAACTAGAGGCTTCTCAGTGCTGTTCAGTGACAGGACAAGATGGAACAGGCATGAATTGAAATACATGAAATTCCATTTAAACAGAAGAAAAAAAAGCTTCTTTACTGTGAGGGTGGTCGAAAGTTGTAACATGTTCCCCAGAGTATCTGTGGAGTCTCCACCCTTGGAGATATTAAAAACCCAACTGGACATGCACCTGCGCTACCTGTTCTAGCTGACCCTGCCTTGACCAAGGGGGTCAGACTAAGTGATCTCTAGAGCTGCCTTCAAACCTCAGCGGTTCTGTGATTCTGTGATTCTAACTACTTATCATCCTGCCGGCCACTGAACTTTTAATCTCATGTGCAGTGTGACTGCCTTCTCATCGTCTGTCAAAGGATGCATATGTAAGTGCAGCTGTGTGCCGACAGTTATGTATGTCCATCTTCTATGTTAATTTTACAAAGATATAGCTATTCTGCTGTACAAGCACAAGTCTGTCAGAGCTGAAAGGTGAGGAGGACACACTGACCTGGAAATTGACTCTAGCTGTTTTGGAAGAACACACTTATTGGGAGTTTAACAACCTTTTGGCACTTGAAAAGAGACCAGTACAGACTAGCTCCCACACAGCTGTATGAAATCTCCTTCATGTCTCACTTCACAGAAAAAATAAACTACCGGGCAAGGTATTTTGAATAACAAAAGCTGAATATTTCGACATGAACATAGAGGATCCCTTTGAAAAATGAGCCCAAGTAAATACAGAATTTCCACGCATGTAATGCATTTGAACAGGAAGGATACCTTCTCAATCAGCTCAATGCAGGCAGCCAGGTCCATCCCAAAGTCAATGAATGTCCATTCAATTCCTTCCTTCTTGTACTCCTCCTGCTCCAGCACAAACATGTGGTGGTTGAAGAACTGTTGCAGTTTCTCGTTGGTGAAGTTGATGCACAGCTGCTCAAAGCTGTTAAACTTGAAATAAAATAAGACAGACCCATATTTGCAAGATGCAGCAATAATTGTAAAACCTCATCCTGCAAAAATAAGGAATGCAGTTATCTTGGCTTCATTGTCAAGTCTGTTTATTTCTTCAGTCTGCTTTATGTCTATGTAACAAAACAGAGAAATGCATCAAATTTATTGTCCACAAGGAATTTTTTTTCATTGATAAAAATGTGAAGATAAAATATATTTCTTGTATAAACTGAGACCAAATTACAGGGAGAAAAAAGCCAAGTTTAGGCCTATCATGATATACATGTTTTCATACTGTCTTGGCCTTGATCATTTAAACCAAGGAATTTTTCTGATTGGACCATTCTGTACTTTGGAGTTTGCACATCTTGAAATAAGACAAGTCCTTTGAAACGTCATTTTTTTTGCTTCATTACATAAAAAGACAAATAGCTGCAAAAAATTATGTGATGATACTGTATCTTCTTTAAAAATATGTCTCAGAGTGATCGTAACATCCAGTTGTCACTTCCAAATAGCTCTTACAAAATCTTTGTTACTTACATCAAAGATTTCAAAGCCAGCAATATCCAGGACTCCAATGAAGTACTGTCTGGGCTGCTTCGTATCTAGCTGTTGATTGATACGAACAACCATCCACAAGAACATCCTCTCATAGACAGCCTTTGCAAGAGCACCTACAGCATTGTGCACCTATAAGAAAAAAAAAACGCCTGTAGTTACCATACAGAGCAGAGGAGAATCAAAAGGATCTTAATTGAAAACATGGTTCCAGGTTACCATGTTTCTTACCTGCTGTGCAGTTTGACCCTTGGTCACATATTCATTCCCAACCTTGACTCGGGGGTAGCATAGTGCCTTCAGCATGTCAGCTGAATTCAGACCCATAAGGTAGGCAGCCTTGTCAGCAACTAAAAAAACAGAGGAAAAAGGAAGAATTTAGTGTCACACAGACTTTGAATCCTGGAGTATTCTCTAAAGGCTGCAGATTCAGATTTCTGTTCTTTGAAATCTTTCCATAGACTCTCACAGAGGGAATCTTGGTAACATCAAAGTCATCATTATGCATATTGAGCTTTTCTAAAAGAATTTATGTTTGATAATCTTCACTGAAGCACATAGAAAGTAATGATGTTTTCAAAAATCTGGCACAAAAACAAAAGCTGCAGCTTGTCAGTCTGAATATTTGTAGCACATGCGTAGCTCAGGAGCTTGCAGTGACAACAGTCAGATACTGATCTACATTCAGGTGATCAAAACCACCCAATATTTAGGGTGGAACACAGAGAGGATATCTCTTTCAGATCCAGAGCCTACAGCATTTTCTGAGCTTCCGTTTCTGATGTTCAATCAAACTCACTGGGTTTCATCCTTTTAGCTATGGTACTTCCCACCTTCTGCCTAGTTGTTTAGCAAGAGAAGCCATTGCTCAGAGAACTGGGGATGTGGGTTGTAGGTGTGTGCCAACAAAGGAGAGTAATCAAATACAGCTCTCACACCAGAGTTCCCTGAGCATCTGACAGGTGAGGGTGAATGGGAACATGGTCCCCCATCCTGTTAGAGCTGAACCACTTGGCTGTTTCACAATTGCAAGCCATATTCCAACAAAGGTATGACTAATAATGTTACTGGAAGTGTATAAAGGACAGTTTAAGCTATTAATTGTTCATAGCATAAGATACAAAAATCCTGATATCAGGGAACTTGATGTACTGAGAAGAGGTCAAGGGTCAGGTTTTTTCTGGCTTACTGTTTTCCTTGGGATCCAACAAAGAACAACTTTTGCTGTCTTCCACATCCATAGAGGCTTAGAGAAGGGTTAATTATTGAATTTGATAATACCTTCTGTGCCATCTGGCTCTGCCTGCTCCTCTCTTGGTTTCTGCTTAAACTTCAAGTTCCCGTAGTGCATGACAGCCCCTGTCAGCTTGTAGATGGCAGTCTTTTCATCGGCAGTGAAGCCCAGGATGTCAATGGCACTCTGGTAATACAATCAGTAAAGTGAAATATTTGCATGTTATGTAATGTATGACCTGTGCCTGTTGACCTGTTTTGTAAGTTACTTACATCTGTAGCCATCAGCTCTTCCTTGTCATCAATGCTTGGAACAGTGATTTCACCTTGACTCACAAAAGGGTAGTCATATGGGTTGGTGGTGATGAGGAGCATTTCTGAAAACAAATGGGTTCATGGGTTAAATTTCATTGGTTCTGTAATGTAGTTAAATCTTGCTCAGTGATCTTCCTCCAGAAAGCTCACTGATGCCTCTTACCAATTAGTTCTGGCTTCTTGTTAGAGGTGACCTGATAAAATATGTGGTAGCTTCTTTCTGCCTTGAGCTGGAAAGTGACTCTGGACTTCTCCAGCAGATCTGGCAAGGACAGTAGGACAGAGTTAGCACAAGTACTGGGGAGGGTGAGAAAGAATGTGATCAGGCCAGGAGAGTCTCTTACAAGTTTCAATGTCAGCAGAAGCCAGTTTGCCTGTGGCCCCAAAGTGGATTCTGATGAATTTGCCCTGTTAAGGAGAACGAGAAGCATTTCAGCCTAGATGCATTTCGTTGCCATCTCCTTATGTGAGAATACCACTAGCCCATCACTACTGTTATCATGAGGAGGGTTTTTCAACAACTTACAAAGCGTGAGGAATTGTCATTCCTCACAGTCTTGGCGTTTCCAAAGGCTTCCAGCAGTGGGTTAGCACTGATGATTTGATCCTCAAGAGTTCCCTGTAGGATGATAATTATTCCTGGTTATCATTTCCATAAATCATGTCAAGAAAAGCATTGATTCAAGCCAATATCTATTAATTTACCTTCATTTTGCCAGACTGCTGCTCCTCCTTCTTCTTCTCCCCACTCGCTGCAATTGTTGCAAAGTACTGGATGACACGCTTTGTGTTCACAGTCTTCCCTGCACCAGATTCTCCACTGTGAAACCAAAGAGAGAAGCAGAGGGCGTGTGGTCAGGCAAGAGGTCCCCTGGCACCCGGCAGCCCCACAGCAACCCAAACAGGGGATGAACATACGTGATCAGGATTGACTGGTTCTCACGATCTGTGAAAGAGGCAGAATGAAAGACAGTGTTAGCAGTTCACCTGGGTAACATGGAGCTGAGTGAGAAATAAAGCTGTAAATGTAAGTTGGGGCTTCTTCAGAAAGTCCAAGACTACCCATTCCCTTCCAGGTACTAACAGTAGTAAGTATAAGCCCAAATGGATGCATGTGGTCCTGAGACAAGCTGTGCACCCACTTGCCCTTCACAAAATTCTCATCAAGAAATCTAATCAAACTGCCTATCTGTGTTCAAAATAGTGGATTACATGGAATAATAACATTTTCTTTCCTATCAGTGGAAAAAAGTAGCAAACTGAGTCAAGCACTATTTCTACAGTGGGAGAGTGTAGAACTTCATACAATAAAGTGCATACATGACACAGTGCTGAGCCCATGCATGCTTCTGGGTCAGTTTCACTTGAAATTAATTCCTGCATGACTCAATCAAGTTCTCAGTCAAACATCTCTGTGGTGTTTTAAGCTAGCTTGTCACATGCTCCTTTTTGGTTTAGACTGCTGTTAGGGAGGCCAAGCACTCACCAGTTAGCATGAACTGATAGGCATTGTCAGAGATGGAGAAGATGTGTGGAGGGGCCTCCTGGCGCTTCTTGCCTCGGTAGGCCAACACCACCTCCGGGTTGTACACCGGCAGCCACTTGTAGGGGTTGACAGTGACACAGAAGAGACCCGAGTAGGTCTGCAAGGAAGGGAGACAGCACATGGGCTTCCACTTAACCTGGCAGAGCAGTTCCTCCTACCTGCCCAAAGGAAGACTGCTGCTGGTACTTACGTAGATCATCCAGGCTGCATAACGCTCTTTGAGGTTGTACAGCACAGCAGGTTCATGGAGGTGGGTCATCATGGCCATGTCCTCGATTTTATCATACTTGGGAGGATTCATGGCGAAGATTTGATCTTCCTTCACGGTCAGGGTCTGCCAAGGAAACAAAAGATCCATGTATGTCAGCTGAAAGCTTGGAATGGGATGCAAATGGTGTCCTTCAGCCTTGTTTTTCACTCACTTCTCCAGCTTCAGTCTTGACAGTGACCTTCCCTGATTCCCTGCTCTGGATTGTCCCTTTCACAAAGGATTCCTTAGGATGGGCCACAAAGACGGATGTCTTGGCATCAAAAGGCTTGTTCTGGGCTGCAATTCTTTCCTTCTCTGACTTTCGGAGATAGGGAGCCGCCTCCCCAAAAACAGCCATCTCAGAGTCTGCAGAGGCCATGTCTGCACTTTACTGAAGGCACGTCAAGCACAGGACTCTAATGGGGAGGAACAATATGGCACTCATTAGTTATGTCTTTTCTGTAAGATTGGGAAAAATTTTATACCCTGTACCTCGGTTTCTCTTCATACTGAGTACATGGGACATCTAACATGAGCTAACCAGAGACAATTTTTAGGTCAACTTAGAAAGTAAGAGGTTTTCGTTGATGTAGTCTAGGTCTTCAAATATTTAGGAGAGCAACTTTTAATCACCTTTCAGAACTGTGGGTTTGGAGCTTTAAGAATACTGTGTCTATAAGATAAGAGTGAATTTGCTGAGAGAGTTTCACTAAGATATCACTATTAGGAATGGAAATACAGTTAGAACATTTTGTTAAAAGGATGAGCAGTCAAGAAACATTTCTGAAAAACTGTAGTTTAGGCAACCTACAGTCTTGGAAAACATTGAACCTGTGGGACATTTACCTATTAAATATGGTGGTAACAGACAGTGGGAAATTAATGAATTTTGCTAATGAAGTTGTCAACTGAAAGAAAAGGGTAGGCTTTGTGACCTTTTAACATTCTGCCATAATTTAATTTGATTTATGCATTTGTCATTCTTTTGTACAATATCTAAATAATTTCAGCCCCAAAGTTCTGACTTGGGTGAAATAGAATTCAGTCCTTGAAATTGGAATTGCCATGCCTGTATTAAGATCCCAAATAAATACTTACTGAAAAAAATCTAGCAACAGATGAGTTCTCAAAACTTTAAAAAAATAGGAGTATTTCTTCAGATGCTTTATTAAACATGTAGGTAGCTAAATTTAGCTAACTCCACTTAAAAATTCTCTAGCTACGTTAGTAAAATTGATTCCCTCTTTATTCATTAGGTAATTTTTTTTTTTTCTGGAGTAAGAAAATGGGTATCTAAGAGAGCTCTGGCATTTTACAAAGGTCGTTAGAAGGTCTGTATGCTCAGACAATTTATTAATTCATACATTCTCAGGTAGAATGCAGAATTTTGCACTTTTTCCTGCTCTCCTTATCTTGGTCCAGTTCTGCTGGTGCCATAGCAAAGATGGGAAGCCAGCAGGCCTTGATCCTATTAGGGCAGTTAAGCAGAAGTGAAAAATTTCCCCATGTGGATTTTCTGGTCTGCCATCAGTGGTCAGACACTTCAAACACAGCCACTTCAAAACCTGGGTCACCCCACCACCTTCTACTGTAATCACACTAGGTTTGAATATAGGGTGAAACAGTGATGCTTCCAGAAATCCCACCCAAAAGGATCTTTCTCTGCCCTCTAATAATTAATAAATCAGGTTCTTACCTCTCGTGACACCAAGAGGGGTGGCTTGCGGGCTGGCAGCTGGTCAGTACTGTAAAACAGAAATGGCAACTCCCTAGTTGCTGCTGCACAGAAATCCAGAGTGAAAATGTGCAGGTGCCTTGAAAGCAGATTTAAAACCTGAGCTGAGAAATTGAGTTCCCTCCTGGAAATGAGCACTGGAGGCAGCAGCAATGCTGTAGAACCTAAAGGCACCATCCCCTTCCTGCAAGCCTGTGGACCCCATACACTTACCTTCAAGCTTTCTGTGGAGACAGGGCAGACTTGTCACAGGGACATTTTATACCATCTAGTCTGCAGATGCTACAGATGCCTACTCTTTCTTCGGTCAAAAAATTTTTGGCAAACCTTCTTTGGTAAAGCATTGTCTGGCAAACTGAACTAAGGGCATAATTGTCATTTGACATGACTAGATATAATTAGAAAATCTTGATGTCTTACTGACTATATGAATACATCTTCTATAAACAATCTGACAAGGGTGTTAAGGAGGGAATCTGGACTAGTCAAGGCACTTAGAGAACTTGGATGCAAGACTTATGGATTCTATTGCTGGCTTTCCCACCGACTCACTGTATGACCCAGGGTAGATTGCTTGGTATGTCAGCACCACAGATATCCCAGCTGTACAATAGATAAAACAGGATGTTAAAAGGTAAATTAGCATTATTAAAAGCTTTTGGCAGTTGTGATGGCAAAATCCTGAAAGCAGAAGTGCAAATGTATAATGAGCGTTACAGGCACAGCAGGATCATCAGCCAAACACTGCAGCAGTGAGAGGCTGGGTTCTACCTGGGCTTTTAAGCTGGTGCCTCTGACAGAGATGTGAGGCAGCTTCAAGGATATTGGGAAGAGTGCGTGCACGCATGCACACACACACACAGAGGCATACGCTTGTGTGCCTGTCTGTACACACTTCAGATTGTGAATAAGTGGGAGATTCTCCAAGAAATGTTGTTGTGCACCACCTTGTTCTATGGGAGGGGTTATACCTGCTCAGACTTCTGAGCTGCAGGTCAGTGCCAGTGAGCAAGAGATGCTCCCTTCTTTTGCTAGCAACTTCTTAGCTTATCCAGGTGTTCCCATGCCTACAATGCTAGGAAAGATAACTGATCTAGAAATGCCCCCTACAGTTTTTTTCCTACATAAAATTGACAGAAAGATCCTCTAGTCAGCCATACCTATACAAATACTTGGACATACGCACAAACACCTCTCCTCAGCATGCAGTCCCAAATGCTCTGCACCCAATACATCCTCAGTCCAGCACTTCCATTTCATCACAAATATCCTGCACACGTACACACTTGCACAGTTCAAAAAAAAGCAGTGATACCTTTACCAGAGCATTGCGGGTGGCAGGCATGGCTGTGCAATGCTGATGGGAATGGCGGGGGAGCGGGATTTGCTGGTAGTCCTGGAGAGAGACTGACCTAGTTTTGGGAAGAGGGGACTGTCATGTAAGCTGCTTTAAATCCTGTCAGATTTAAACACATTCTTCCCCTGGTCATTGGCATTTTGGTTATTAAAAGAGCTCAGTGGATAATACATGGGCAAAGTTAGAAAAATGGTGCATGGATCTGCTGTAATAACCAGCATCAGGCAATGTCCTGTGCTTGTGAAGCCTATTCCAAGGAGGGCTGCAGCGCTGCAGTGCCCACTTTTTCGGAGCCCAAATCCAGAGCTCACCGCTGGGCTCCATACACAGGGAATGGGGAGGCTGATGGAAACACCCTGCACCCTGCCCAGGAGGAGCCCAGAGCCAGCCAGTGGGAAATGGTCAGTGCAGGGGTGCATCTGAAGTCCTGCCTCTCTGGGGAGCAGGCACCAAGGGGTGCTGGCAGGGGCACCTCCATCCAGCAGGACCTAGAGTGCAACTGTGCTCCCCAGCACGGGGCCAGCAGGCCATTGTTCTGAGGGGCTCTTGCAGCTGAGTCCCTGGGGTGCTGGGGTGCCATGTGGTGTCCAGCAGCCCAGTGGCTCTCAGTCCTGACCAAGGAGGGGACAGAAAGGTCTTAGCATCTCAGAGCCCAGTGTTTAGAAGACCATGCAAGAAGAGCAAGGAATGGCTGAGGCCTCTCCCAGGGCATGAAAGCTGGGGGTATTTTCCCCTCAGGCTGGGGAGGGAGCTCTGGTCCCGCGTTCCCAGGGAAGCTATAACATCTGCACTATAAAGGCAGCATAGCCTGGCAGCAGCAGGTTAAGTATTAAATAGCTGCTGTTGCTCTTCTGTGGGGCTCTGCTCTCAGAGGTACATGGCAAGTGTGTATTATGCAGTGTTATCAGGCTGGCACAAAGTGCCCTCAGAATGTGCTGGGGCTATATGGAGAGTCTAGTTGATTGTGCTAGGCTAGATCACCTGACCTTGGGGACTGAAAATCTTTGACTTCCCAGTGGTCAATGACAAAGCCAGTCTTCTGGCCGTCATCTATTTGGACTTCTGTAAAGCCTTTAACACAGTCCCTCACAACATCCTTCTCTCTAAATTGGGAAGATATGGGTTTGATGGGTGGACTGTTCAGTGGATAAGGAATTGTGTGGATGGTTGCATCCAGAGGGTCGTGGTCAATGGTTCGATGTCCACATGGAGACCAGTGACAAGTGGAGTACCTCAGGGGTCCATACTGCGACCAGTGCTGTTTAACATCTTCATCAATGACATAGACAGTGGGATCGAGTGCACCCTCAGCAAGTTTGCAGACGACACCAAGCTGAGTGGTGCAGTTGACATGCCAGAAGGACAAGATGTCATCCAAAGGGACCTGGACAAGCTGGAGAGGTGGGCCTCTGTGAACCTCATGAGGTTCAACAAGGCCAAGTGCAAGGTCTTGCACCTGGGATGGGGCAACCCCCAGTATCAGTACAGGCTGGGGGATGAAGGGAATGAGAGCAGCCCTGCGGAGAAGGACTTGGGGGTACTGGTAGATGAAAAGCTGGACATGAGCTGGCAATATGCACTTGCAGCCCAGAAAGCCAACCGAATCCTGGGCTGCATCAAAAGAAGCGTGGCCAGCAGGTCAAGGGATGTGATTCTGTCCCTCTGCTCTGCTCTGGTGAGACCTCACCTGGAGTACTGCATCCAGCTCTGGAGCCCTCAGCACAAGAAGGACATGGAACTGCTGGAGTGGGTCCAGAGGAGGGCCACAAAAATGATCCAAGGGCTGGAGCACCTCTCCTATGAGGACAGGCTGAGGGACTTGGGGTTGTTCAGCCTGGAGAAGAGAAGGCTGCAGGGAGACCTTATTGCGGCCTTTCAGTACTCAAAGGGGGCCTATAGAAGGGATGGGTCCAATCTTTTTAGCAAGTCCTGTTGCGACAGGACAAGGAATAATGGATTTAAACTGAAGAAGAATAGATTTAGACTAGACATAAGAAAGAAATTTTTTACAATGAGGGTTGTGAAGCACTGGAACAGGTTGCCCAGAGAGGTAGTGGAGGCCTCATCCCTGGAAACATTCAAGGTCAGGTTGGATGGGGCTCTGAGCAACCTGATCTAGTTAAAGCTGTCCCTGCTCAGTGCAGGGGGATTGAGCTAGATGACCTCTAAAGGTCCCTTCCAACCCAAAGCATTCTATGATTCTATGATTCGCAGCAGAGCTCTTCCGGACTTGTGTTGTCTAGGATGTGGACCCAGCTGTGTAACAGGCAGGAGTGATGCACATGGCCAGGCAGTTCTGGGCATACAGTCAGCCAAGGGAAGGTCTAGTTTGAAAGAGAAGCAGCCAGTGAGTTAAGGTGTCTCCAGGTGTGGACAGTCTTGGCAGTGCTTTGCGGATTGAACTTAGTGTCGGTAGGTCCCCATAAGCCACTGCTAGAAACCTAAAGTCTTTTTGAAAGTGTTCCATATCTCAGAAAAGGGTTGTGAAGTAGGGCATAGCAATGAAGGAGAGGCTTTTATCCAGATGGCTTTTGAGTATCTCCAAGGATGGAGTCTTCACAATGGCTCCGGGAAACCTGTGTTAGTGCTTGGTCACCCTCACAGTGAAAAAGTGTTTCTTGATGTTCAGAGGGAACCTCCTGTGTGTCAGTTTGTACCCATTGGCTCTTGTCTTGTCACTGGGCACCACTGAAAAGAGCTTGGCTCCATCCTCTATGCACCCTCCCCTCAGGTATTTATATACATTGATGAGATCCCCCTGAGCCTTCTCTTCTTCAGGCTGAAGAGTCCCGGCTCTCTCAGCCTTTCCTCATAGGAGAGGTGGTCCAGTCCCTCAGTCATCTTACTGGCCTTTGCTGTACTCTCTCCAGTAGCTCTATACCTCTGTTATACTGGGGAGCCCGGAACTGGACACAGCACTCCAGGTGTGGCCTCATCAGTGTTGTGTCAAGGGGAAGGATCACCTCCCTCAACCTGCTGGCAACACTCCTCCTAATGCAGCCCAGGCACCGTTCACCTTCTTTCCAGCTAGGGCACATTGTTGGCTCATGTTCAACTTGGTGTCCACCAAAGGTCTTTTTTTGCAAAGCTGCTTTCCAGCTGGTCAGCACCCAGCATATGCTGGTGCATGGGGTTGTTCCTCCCCAGGTGCAGGGCTTCGCACTTCCTTTGCACTGTTGGACCCAGTATCGACCTCTGGGTTTTGCCTAACCAGTACCCAGTTGAACACTATCTTTAACATAGAAAACACTTCATGTTAAATGGGTCCTAGCAATTGCAGAATCACAAAAGACTTCGAGTCTTACTGCCATGTTTACCAGTATTGATAATTGAATAACTAAATCATATGTAGACTTCCAGCTAAAGACCCTTTGTGACGTTAAAGCAAAGCAACTAAAGTGCACAGGCACCTCTACATTCCCCCAGTAAACTCCATGCTTTGCATACAAATAGGGTGAGATGACCGTAGGTTCAATATAATGTCCATAGAGGCAAGAATACATACGCTGTCTTAGAGACCAACACATTTGCCATCTACTTCAGGCACCTAGCTTCACTGTCTCAAATATTGGACTATCCAAATCACGGAAGCTAGTCTCTGCTTGATCCTTGGAGGAGAGTCTGGATGGTAGGACTACCAGCCAGCAGCATCTGTTTCTAATAGTGGTTCCCACCCACTCTGACTGAAGCTGTTTTCAACATGAGTCCATAACAGCCATGTGAAAACAGGCATCCTGAAGGTTGAGGAGCTTGTGACCCCATTCACTAGCAGAACTATCATCATTATCTTGAAGGTGTGAATCTGGCAGTTTTCCTATCACCAGAAAGAATCACGACATTCCTTGACACAAAGAAATGGCAGCTATAGAGCTATTCC